TCCTTTTTTAAATAAATGTCGTTTTGACTTTTTTGATTCATTCATTTTGCTATGTATCTAGACATTAATATGTCTAGATACATAACAAAATGAATGAATCAAAAAAGTCAAAACGACATTTATTTAAAAAAGGAGGGAGTATAATATAGTACTACCTCCTTTTTTAAATAAATGTCGTTTTGACTTTTTTGATTCATATTAATGTCTAGATACATAGCAAAGTGAATGAATCAAAAAAGTCAAAACGACATTTATTTAAAAAAGGAGGGAGTATAATACTATCTCCTTTTTAAAATAAGTGCGTTTTGACTTTTTTGATTCATCTATTTTGCTATGTATCTAGACATATTTATGTCTAGATAAATAGCAAAATAGATGAATCAAAAAAGTCAAAACGACATTTATTTTGAAAAGGAGGGAGTATAATATAATTGCTTGGGGCAGACACAATTATTAATGGGAAGAGCATAATTTTGTAGAGACACCAATCATTGCACATGTTTCTATGCAAATATATAACTAAAGAATGATACAAAATATTTTGCATAAAATTCACCATAGCTAATGAATGATAGTGATGAGCCCTCATGCCTTTTCTCATCATAATCATTAATCACATATGGCTATGAGACAAAATGATAATAAACCCAAGTGAAATTAATTATATATTAGGCTAAAGCTAGCAAACATTATTGAACGTTCGCGAACATGCTCGTGTTCGTATTCATTAAATTAACAAACAAGTCTGATTCTTTATTTGATCTTAGCTCAACGAATAAACGAATGAGTTTTATTCGAGGTGGAACAAACCTTCTTTCGTGAATGTTCGGTTTGTTAACGGAAGAACTTGTTTTATTCGAACTAGAACATACTTTCATTCACAAATGTTCTGTTCGTTTACAACTGTACTGTAAAAGTAAATAGAAAATATCACAACAACAAATATCGTTGAAAAATATGGAAGAGGGATAGAAAGTGTAAACGTTTTGATTAAAAAAAAAACAAAGAAAAAGAACAAAAAAAAAAAAAAAAAAAAAAAAAAAAAAAAAAAAAAAAAAAAAAAAAAAAAAAAAAAAAAAAAAAAAAAAAAAAAAAAAAAAAAAAAAAAAAAAAAAAAAAAAAAAAAAAAAAAAAGAAAAACACACACACACACAATGGTAGTAAGAATGCGGGGCAGAATCAAATGCTAACCCCATGAAAATGGAAACATATTCATTTGGTGAAGATATGAAGGCTTGTTGTCTGGCATTTGCTTAATGCATAATATTTTGGTTACTTAATATTAGGATCTGCAGTTCTTAGCCGTAATAATCATATTTTGGTATCCTATGCACCTTTTCACTTTTCAGATCATATATACCTACCTATCAGCATTAAATATTAAGTAATGGAAAATGCTACGGTTCTGATCCCGTTACGGAACCACTCCGCGAGATTTATAGCCGTTACATCATTATGTAACCGCCAGAGGTAGTTGATCTAACGGTTATAAACACTGACAGAATGGTTCCATAACGGGACTGTAGCATCTCCCGTAAGTAATATGGGCTTCAGTATATATTATACTTTAATTTGATTTCATTAGTTAAAAAATATTCAATCCCATATTAGACTCAACACTCATTCATATCTCAAATATAATTAGCTTGGTTTATGTAGATATATAATAATAATCAAACTAAAATAATAATCAAACTAAAAATGGAGTGAGCACTTTGAAAAGCGTGTTTAAAGCTCAAACTGCTATTGAGTAATCGTATAACATGTTTGTCTCCACTTGATATATGTCCACACCCATATGTATCCCTCTCTATATATTAATTAAAAACGTGTTGAGTTTAGGTAGTAGATTTTCACACTTCGGATGCTGACAGGCGAAAATCTATGCTTCGTATTGTTGTTTTTATATTATTTTTGCTCTGGAGTTAGGTTTGGTATTAGACATAAATAACTTTACACATGTATTTATTAACTCAATACTCATATTGTACATGAATATTAGTACTAGTTTGCAATTAATTACCAAAAATGGTTAATGATAATATGTTATAAATTAATGAAAATATTATTATTTTGTTTTTTAAAACCATTATTCTACTTAGTGAGATATATGTTGGAAAGAAATTATTGATGTTTCCACATCATATCAATGAGCACGAAATGTGAGGAAGAAGACATGCTCATTAACGCGGGTGTGGGTCAAAATTGTGTATATATGTATATCCTATACATATCTATTTAATCATAATTAATAAGTGGATTTCTATTTATTTAATAATATATATATTGCTATAGTACAACACTCATATATTAGACGGATGTTGAGTTGTAAAATATATATGTATAAGGTTATAAAAAATAATAAACCAAAAAATGGATTATTGATTTTTATCGAAAATGACAATCATGTATTACATTTAGTTCATCAAAATAATATTTTTTTAACAAAAAATTAGGGTATATATATGTGTTATGAGAGTCTTGTGAATCAATATTTTTTTCAAAAAAAAATGAGTACTAAGAGGACAGTTAAAATAAATCCCATTGACATCTGTGTCGACCTTTTAAATTTTTTCAACACAAAATTAATATACATGTCTTTTATTTATACATATAAGTTATAAAAACATTAATTTTCTTCAGTGATTGATGATTTTCAAGCTTGTATGACCCGTAAAATGGCTCAAACATTATTTTGCACTCAAGATTGACTTCGTCATAGTCCAAGTCACGATTTGGGTCCGAGATCTTTCTTTGAGGAGAAATTAGAATTTATTAAAAAGATTAAACATGGTGATAAAAAATTAGTTTATTTATTTATTTATTTTTGTTCGGATAAAACATCAAGTTTTTTTGTTCGGTTAAAAAATTAAAGATTAATTATTTATTGCGATTAACCGACCCGACCGCTGGATTTTCAGGTAAAACTAACTCGAACCGTAAATTTCGGTTCGGATAATGGTTCGGTTCGATTTCGACCGAACGAGCAGCTCTAGGAATATCCGAGACAACCGATCCTAGACAATATATAAGAAACTTTTAAGGATGTAATCCTTTTTCTACCTAACATAATTAGTCTAAACAAGCTCATTTATATCAACATGGTGCGTGAAAGTCATGTGAAGTTGGTGGGCGCCCATTTGGTGATCGTTTTTTTTTTTTTTTT